ATTCTAAAAATAAATTATAAACGAGATAATTTTACCAAATTTTTTCTAAATATGACAATAATTATTTGGTAGGGGAAGAATGTAGTAACGCTTAAATTCATAATTGTATTTTTATGAAAATGCCCAAATTTATTATTGTACCCTCCCCCTAAATGAGCTGTAGATTATGTTGAAGATTAGAGGGATCATAGCTAATGAAGGGACTATAAATACCCATTTCCATCTCTCAAAAAAGTTTCTACTTTGAAAATACAGTAAAGCATGTCTAATTTGGGCCCCGTTGAGACCCCCAATTTATCAAAACTCTTTATTTTATAATAGTAGTTCATAGTAATCTGATTGGTTGGCCAAATTAGAGAGTTGCCCGAATCATCATTACCCCCAATTAAATAAGTTTTACTGTATTTTAACTCAAATGTCGTTTTTTTTATATAATTTTAATAATATTTCCCAATATAGTTTTGTATAAATTTTTTTTTTTTTTCACTTTAGCTTTCACCTTTTCTGGTGGTAAGCTCCTTCAACATCTCTCTCCACTTTATGTTATTCATACAATCTCTTTTATCTATTTTATACTTCTTTATATTGGCTCTAACTTTATGGCCCCATTGAAGTTTTGGCCTTCCTCTTTTACGTTTGCCCATCACTTCCAAACTTTCAACTTTATTTCCTATGTAGTTCATAGGCCTTCTCATTGTGTGCCCATACCACCTAAGTCTGTTTACCATTAACTTAGTCTTAATGGGCACTACCTTTAAACTATTTAGTATTCTTGTACTGCGCACCTTATCCTTTCTTGTTACCCCAGCAATCATCCTCAGCATTCTCATCTCCATAGTTTGTAGACTTCTCTCGTCTGATTCTTTGGTTGGCCATGTTTCCGAACTATATAGAATAGTTGGTTGTACTATGGAACTGTAGATTTTTCCCTTTAATTTGTGTGGGATTCTTTTGTCAAATAGCACTCCAGATAAAGATCTCCACTTTAACCACCCTTGATTAATCTTATTCTTTATCTCTTTTTCTATTGTGCCGTTTGTTTGTATAGTGGAGCCCAAATATTTGCAACTTTCAATTGCGGATATCTGCCAATCATTTATATCAATACTCTCCGTTTCATCTCCTCCTATCACCATATACTCCGTCTTTTCTCTATTTACTTTTAATCCGTGCGTTTCTAGGATATTTATCCAATTCACTAACCTTTCTTTCATTTCATCCTTGGATTCGGCAAGTATCACAATATCATCTGCAAATATCATATTCCACGGGACTGTTTGAGGTATAGACTGTGCTAATACATCTATTACTGTAATGAAGAGAAGTGGGCTGAGAGCCGACCCTTGATGAATTCCTTCGGCTATTTTGAAGCCTGCTGAAGTACCTGTTGTGCTAGACCATTGTTGTATGTTCCATATACATATCCTGTATTATTCTTATATATTTTTCGGGAACTTTTTTGTGGCGTAGCGCCCACCAGATAAGTTTTCTTGGGATTCTATCGAAGGCCTTTTCTAGATCGAGAAAGACCATGTGTAGCTTTTTGTTCTTTTCCCTGTATTTTTCACTCATTTGCCTAATTGCATGGATAGCATCGGTTGTTGATCTTCCAGGCATAAAGCCAAACTGTGTCTCTCCTATTTCGATTATATCTCTTAATCTTTTTTCTATTATTTTTTCGTATAGTTTTAGCCAGTGTGACATTAGTTTTATGCCCCTGTAATTTTGACAATTGTGTGGATCCCCTTTATTTTTGAAGATAGGAACTACTGCCTCCATTTTTGGGGAACCTCTTCATTTCCAAATAATTTATTGTACAGATTTGTGAGGAGATGTATTCCATCATCTCCTAGTGCTTTAAGGCTTTCTATTGGAATATCGTCTGGACCCCTAGCTTTGTTGTTTTTCATATGCTTGAGGTATGTGATTATTTCTTGTTCTGTTATAGGTTGTACAAGGTTTTGACAAGGGGAGTGTTCGTCGAGATGCAATATGTGGGAATTAAAGTTGAGAAGCTATTGAAAATATTCTTTCCATCTATTCATTATTTTTTTTCCCTTTATTATCAATTTCCCATCTTTATTTTTGATTACTTTCGGAGCTCCGTTTATATCCCTAGAGTTCTTTTCTCGCTGTTTGGCTAATCTGTATATTTTATTTTGCCCTTCTTTGGTATGTAGATCTTCGTACATGTCATCGTATGCCATAGATTTGGCCCTAGCCACCGCCTTTGTAGCTAATCTCTTGGATTTTTTGTATCTTGACTTGTCATCTGCATTTTTGGATTTGTACCATATTTTATAAAGGGCTTTTTTCTCCTGTATAGTGGTTTGTACCTCTTGATTCCACCACCATAATTCTTTGTGTGATTTGTTGCCTCCTCTTGTCAAGCCTAGCGTCGATTTTGCAGTGTCTATTAATCTGGATGAAAGGTCTGTCCAGATTTTTTCACTGACTTGTGAGCAATTTATTGTTTCAATGTTTGCATTGATTGCAAAGGCATCTGTCATTGTTTTTAATTTGCCCCATTTGATGCATGGTTCCAGTTTTATTTTATTTTGAGTGGATTTATTTGAGATTTGTAAATCCATGATTAGTAGTTTGTGTTGCGCGGCGATATCTTCTCCTGGGATGACTTTGCAGTCTATTACATCTTTTAATCTTCTGCGAGAGATTAACATGTAATCTATCTGTGTTTTCCTAGTACCACTTTCATATGTTATTAAATGACTGTCTTTTTTCCTATAGTAGGTGTTGGTTAAGGCAAGGTCGAAGGCTTGCGCAAATTTCTGTACGTGCTCTCCTTCATCATTTCTTTCTCCATATCCAAAACCACCATGATGACTTTTGTAGCTATCTCTTGCTTTCCCCACATGCGCATTTAAGTCACCACCAATTATGACTAGGTCATCCTTAGGGATTTCCATTACAGCTTCATCAAGGATAGCTCTAAAGTCATCTTTCTCTTCTTCCTTGCAACCCGTTTGAGGAGCATATACTGATAGAATGTGTAGTATTGATTGACCAATGCAGAGTTTTATCTTCATTAGTCTATCAGAGATCCTGTTGACTTCTACTACTGAAGAGGTTAGGTCTTGGCTGAGGTATAAATAAATTAGTAATATTAAATATATAAGTGATTATCTATGCTTAATATATCAATGCTAAATTAGATGAAAAAAGTTACATGCATGATTAAGTGGGGTCTATGCAACCCCAAGTTCCAAAAACTCAATATAACTCATGAACTATCAAACAAAATAAAAATTAATAGGGATGTACCGATAATTTATATCGAAACGGGCCGATATTTCACACATTTTAAAATATCAGTTATCAACAAATATTATAAAATTTTTCGATCAGATCCGATAAAAAATGGCGTTTTTAACAAAAAGTAAAATATTATAAAATTTTGAAAAAAGGTTATATCTAAAAAACAATTTATTTTTAAAAATAAAATCGAAATCCATTTTTATGTTTAATTTTTTTGATAGTAATAATTAATTAATAAACATACTGCCATATTGTTATTTTTTTTCGCATTCTGTTTATAAAAATGTGCAATAATCTTTTCAGAATCTGCTTTTAGTGAAGCTAGTGATATTTACAGTTCCCATTACCGCAGACTGACCTCTGATAAATTGAAAATTTTGGTATTTCTAAAAAGAAATCTTCGATATATTAATTTTAAATATTAATTTAAATATTTATTTCAAATTTCATAATTATTACTTATTATGTAACTAGATTAATGTTATTACCTATATAAATAAGTGACTTTTCAATAATAATATTTTATATACTTTTAGAATTGCAATTGAATTTAAACTATAACTGATCATTATAATATATTTAAATGTGTCATGGTTTAGTTAAATTATAGATGTTATACTAATAAAAAGTATATTAAAAATTAAAACCATTGCTATCTTTACAGAATACAAAATTAGATAAGATACACTTCTAAAAATAAATATTGCACATATATACTTTAACTAAAAATAACATAGAAAGAATTTTAGGTAATAACGTTTTTTAAAATACATGTACAAAATTAAAGACATTTTAAATAAAAATGTTTTATAATAAGCTTTAATTAAAACGAAAATAAAGGGTTAGTGGGTAAGCTTTTGTGAGAAAGATATTATGCTGAGCATTTTTATTATTATTTACTATATTTTTAATTAACAAAACCTGTTTTAGCATATAATAATATGCTGCTTAAAAACTGGATTTAGCTAATTTATTTCATATTTTTTTGGGGTCTAGTTAAAAATAAAGGGAGAAGTTATTTGGATATAGTAGTAAAAGTGATATTTAAATTATATTACTTATAAAATAGAATAAGGGAATATATTTTAAATTATAAGTGCAATATATAATAAATTTTTATATTAGATCATTTGGTATTTGTTATCAAACTGCTATCAACTTGATATTAGCATAACTGAATAGTTCTAAAAAAACTGCTTACATGTCAAGAATTTATCCTTTTTGTTCCTTCTTTCGTTTCTTAGTTTGTTTATTTACCCTATTCCTCCCTCCCTCCCCAAAACATAATATCTGAGTAATTTTAAAAAAATGTTAATAAAAATGGTAGTCATATCTGAATTAGTGATCTACATCGGGCCTAATTTTTCAAGCCCGGCCCAAACCCGAAATTTTTTTAAAACAATTTACCGGCCTGGCCTGAATTTATTTAAATATAGAAATTAATTTTTATAATTACTCAAAATAAATGATATATGTTATATGACGTCTAGTTTCTATAAGTAAAATCTAATATTTTTATTTTATATTAAAAATTCAACATAAAATTGATAAATTTAGATATATTAAAAAAAAATTTCCAAAGCCTGACCCGACCAGACCCGAATTTTTTAAAAAAATATTAGGCCCGGCCCAGCCCGAACAAATTTCTTTTTAAAAAAATATCTCTTATCTGAATTACTTATTTTTTTTAATAAAAATCATTAATTTATTCATTTTATTTTTACTTTCCTTTTTCCCATTAGTAAAGTTTTTAGGCACGACATTCGATAATGAACTAGCATTGTTATTGAGGATAGAACAACGAGCGGTCCCACATAAGTTAAAAGGAGACTGGTTAAAATAAATGCTCTGTCTTCCATATGCAGTAGTTCGGGTCGGAAGCTTTAATTAATGACATAATTGAAATTTAGTGATTTTTTTTATAAATGACATTTGGATTAGAAGTGATAAAGTGATTAGTAGACAGCAAATCTGACCTGGAAAAAAAAGATCTGGGTGGGATTTATATCTTAAAATGTTCGATTCATGCCAAGCTTCAATCCAAGGCAAAAAATATTAATAGTTATGAAATAATATAATATTTTTTGGCCCAATTTTTGTAGACCATGAAAGACAGAGATGTAACAGGCTCTTAATGCCTTGCGAAATAACTAGATGGAGAACTACATATTTTCTAAAAATATTTCCATAAGTACTAGTGAAAGTACGGTCTGGCCAGCGATAAAAACGGATCGAACTAGACCATGGTCCTCAAGGCTGACCAAGACCGTGGTTCTAAATAAAAACATCGGTCCAGGAGAGGTGATATCTTAAAAATATTTTTGTTTTATCATTTTATTTAATTCTTGTTTTATTATTTTATTTAGTATAAAAATATTTTTTATGTTAATAATATATCAAATCAAATATAAATTATATAATAAATAATAACAAATATAATATTTAATTTAAAAGTAAAATGCTTTTTTGACAAATTTCGTTTTCCATAAAAACTAAAGTAAATCCTATAGAAAGGTAGTATATAAAATAAATATAGACAAATTTAGTAAAAAATTATATGGAAAAATTGCAAATGCAAACTCTATAAAATCGATAGGATCAGAGAGTTGACCTTCACTAATATGTACACATTAATTAAGAGATAATTTAATAAAATATATTGCATTTTAAATAATTGAAAAGAATAAAATATTGCATAAATGCATGAAAACTTCTTTTTAAATTTATTATAAGAGTGAGCATATCAATAATTCAGCCATTTAGAAAAATATTAGGAATAATTTAATATTGACTTCAATACTTACTACTGCTGAAATAGATAATCTGGCTTATAAATTTTTTTAATTTTGAGAAACTATGCTCCGTCGTGGTTTTAGTGAGACGTAAAGTTAAAAATGTATGTTAATGTATTTATTGGCTTCTCCAAATCAGATATAGTAATAAATTTTTTTATTTCCGACGAAATGATAGATCTAAATCATGGTTATATTTTGCTATCAAATTGTTGGCCTGTAAAATACTAGAAAACTTTAAAGATTGCACGGGTTTAAGAAATTAAAGGTAAATAAGTTTCATGCCGCAAATCGCTTTTCCAGTTTATTAGTTATTATATCAATAAATACAATCTAATCAGCAATCATAAAATAATCATTTTCATTAAACCTTTCCATCTCGACATAGTTTGTCAAAAAAAAAATTTTACTTGTGAAACTCTCCCTTTTTAAAAGTAAAAATCGAAATCCCTAATTTTAGCTATTTCTTCTGCGTCACTTTTAAACCTTAAAAAGTATTTTCCATTTCTACAGCATAATTTTAAAAAAATATTCAAAATGTTTTCTGCGATTCATAAATTTAGGTAATGAATTGCTACAGAAGTTGTTTTCTAACTGGTTAAAGATGTATTGAAATGTTTTAAAAATTGATAGTGAATAGATTATATTGAATCATGTCTGGGTGACAATTTGACAGGTATAAATTCTTTAAAATTTCATAATTCTTAGACTCCTGAAGGAAATTTTTTCCTATCTAGTTATACTGTTAAGTGTATATTTTTTGAAGTTATACTGTTGGGTGTATATTTTTTGAAAAATATCATAAAAATTAGATAAGTTTAATGTATCCTCATTTAGGACGATGTTCTCGAGGCACAATGTATAAATTACGTAATAATTAAAAAAAACGCCTTAACTGCAAAGGAGGGCTGTAAAACATGAATAAAGGACATTTAATAAGGCAATATGGCTTGATAGAAATTGTAATATAAAAAGAGACATTGAAATATCGATAATTTTGATGAACTATTAAGTTATCGATATTATTTAAAATAGATATTTGATTCGATTCAATTTCCCGGCACACTAGAGCGCCCTTTTCGTGGGTTTGTTTCTACTACAATTCTTCGAGACTTTTTATTACAATGTTTTCATGCACACGGCAAAAAAAAATGAAAATTATAAAAACGATATTAAAAAATTTTCAATTCGACTCAAATTCAAAATGAAGTCATATCTATTATGGCGGAACGGGGTTAATAATCTATCTCAACAAATTTTGACAAAAACTTTTTACTAATGATCTTTGAAGGTTCTAAGAAAATTTAAAAGTTCATGCACCAAGTCCCAATCTGAGTTAAATAATTTGAGATCCGGTTTCTCCATTCTATTTAATAGAATATTTATAGGATTTTTGTTATTGCCAGTCACATTTTCCAGCATTATTAAAATACTATGCCAACATGTAGGCACACTTAATTTTAAGGTTTTTTCTCATATGATTTTTGATATTCACTATCATCATCAAACCCCAAAAGATCTTCATAAAAAAATCATTATCATCCAATTCTAAAATATCCAATGTAAATGATATCGATTCAAAACATTTTCTATTTTCGATAACGTTTATATTTTTAAAATCCGTTGTGTTGAATCTTAAGGCAAATATAATTTCTCTCACTTTTTTAATGAGATTTTCTATTTTATTAACTTTTTCCATCGACTGTCACTAGATTAAGTAATCCATGCCCCAAACATAAATGATGGTCATATTCTCCTAGACGAACACTTTTCTTTACATTGGGTCCTGCATCCGTAACCATTTGATTTTCTTGGACCCTAAATCAAATTCATTTTCAACTTTTTCTATCTCGGAAAGAATAGTTTCAGCGATATGTTTTTGATTGCCATGATGTGTCGCCAATGTATAAAATACAAAATTATTTATAATAAAAATAATGTACTATGTATATTTTTTTGAGCATATTAAAATTATTATCTATTTCGTGAAATGTAAAGGTGATATAATTTCGCCGTCTATATTTGTCGGTCCACATATCAAAAGTTATAGCACAAAATTTAGGACCTATATTAATTTGTTGTCATATGTATGCTTTCATTGATAAATACACATCATCTCCACTCCGGCTAAGTGTTGTTCTATCTGGTAAATCTTTTGTATCTGAAATAATGCCATATTTCTAAATATTAAAAAGTTAATAATAAAAAAAATGTGGGATAAGATCAGTTTTATTTAAATATTCTATTATAAAATAATTAAATATTTTAACAGTTAAAATAAAAAATAATAATATCAATACCTTTTCTGTTTTACTATCCTAATCTTATCTAACACGTTGGTCACAGACCTGCCCAAAGTGAGCCAACGTGTATTATATGGGTTGTTACAAATCAAATTTATAGCAAATAATATTTATTAATTTAAAAAAATAAAATTGAATTTTAATAATTCAATTAATATTATTTTTCTTCTAGTTACAATTCATAAATAATATATAAAATAAATATTATTTTTAATAATAATAAATATGTATCACACCGCCACACCGCCAAATTTTTACATTGGCAGCAGCGTGTTGAGCACCGAAACTTTTTTGGCGGTGGCGTCGGCATGGTCAAAAATCACCGGCGACGGCGCATTTGACAGGCGGCGCATATGTCTACGTATACAAATATATATCAAAAATAATCTAAATATAAAATAGTTAAGTTTTAGCAAAAAATGTTGGGGAAAAAATAAAATCGAAAAATTTGTCTTTACAGGTGTGACTATTTGTTTTATTTCAAAACAATATCCTCCCTCCCTACCCCCAAACTAAAAATTTTTGACAAACCTGTGTGAAAATTTTCAAAAAATGGCAGTATCTTATCTTATCCACAGGGGTATCTGTTATGCCTCTGATTATAGGTCTAAAGATTTTGTTGTAAATTTATATATAGTGAATTTACAAAGATATTCTATTCTAGATGTAAAATTTTATTAACTTTATTTAAATCCTCAAGGTTTTCATTTTCAGATCTTTCATCCCTAAATCTTTGTTGAAAATTTAATGGCAGAACTGTTTGACCATCAGATAAATAGGCCTTGATGTTAGGATTTTTGACTTTGGTCAATACCTTAAGATTAGGTTTGTCTGTGGCATTTTTATTTTGAGTTTTGCCTTGATAATTTAATTTAAATATAAAAAATTTATTTACAACAAAAACTATTGATATTTTTTTAGATAAATATTGATAAAACTGCTTTTGAATTTTGGTTATTCCATTATTGAAATCATATAAATTGTAAGCTTCCAATTTCATATTTTTTATTATATCCTTATCTGCCTAGACCTATTCAATTCACCCAAACTTGGAGACTTGGCCAAGCAAAACTTTGATTTTAAAGTGTCATTCAACTAAGCAAATATTTTCTACCTAAGTCTATTGTTTATTATCAACATAATAAAATATATACTCAAATACATATTTACTTTTAAAAGATAACGATCCTCTAGTTTTATTAATAGGGTTTTTTAACTGCATAGTTTGCATATTGGTCTCCTTATGTGTAAATTCTTTCATATGTTTATTATTAACATTAGGAATATTTTCCTTGTCATCCAACGTTTTACTGTCTAATTTATAAAAAAAATAGACATATATTTATATGCTAATTAAAACTCTACTATATTACATGAAGAAAGTGTGGACATTTCATTTGTTGAATCTCTTTTATATTTGCTCAATGAAATTGCAAGTTTATTATTATCATTAATTCTAAATTAATATTTATTAATTATAATCATAAATGTTAACTTTAAGGAAGTATCTCCAGCTTGGATGATGGATTTGGTAAATTTAAATCGATTAAAATTTGATTGCATCTTATGATTATTAAATTCCTTTTTAAATGATTTATAATTTTCTATTCTACAAGGTTCATATACTTTATTAGAAATATCAGTTTTGGAAATTAAACGTGGAATTCTATAGTAATAAAATACATATTTAAATTACACACTATATATCATAAAATAATGTACCTTGATTGCTGCATTGTGTTTATTAAATTTCAAATCTAATCTAAATTCTATTGGCTAATTTATAGGATAGATAACATTTATAGAAATTTTTTTTTTTTTAATTTAAAATATAAACTCTTTAATAGTAAAACATATATACATAATTTTAAAAAAATATATAAAATGTCATGTAAACTATTTATATAAAATCTATATAAAAAACTGTATAATAAAAAAAAAAATTTAAATAATTAGTATAGTAAATTGTATGTTGGGTGGGAGGAGGTCAAGAAAAAGAGCCATGGATGGCAATGCAGTTAGATCTACATATATCAATAGATATGCGCTGTCTGAGATAGAAGCCTTCCTGTGGGTCACCAGTGATGGCGCGGATTTTTTTACCGAAGGATTTGAAGAAGGTTAGGGCTAAAATAACTATTTAAATTAATTTAAACATGGCCTTAATGAAAAATATAGCGGTAAAGGCGGGAGGGGAATAAGTCATGTACAAAAATAAAATTATAAATCAATATTTCTATGAATTAATAATATTTTTATAGATAAACTATATAATCTAAAATCAAAGATAACAAAACCTAATTTTTGCTAAACTATTTATTCCTATACTTTACATTTCTTAACCATGCCTTGAAAATCAGATTAATATATCATCACTATATAAATTTTATATTCTGCATTTTTCTACTTCAATTAGGATAAGTTTAATGTTTAATTAACCAAATGATCATATTCTTAAAGCTTAGATTTTTATTCCACGGCTCTTCTAAAATAACACTTTTCTTAAATAGATTAGAAGTAGTATAAAATACTATTTTTATATAATAAACTTGTAAGCTCGGGAATCATTATTTAATTTATTAAAATTTAAAATATTGATTTCGTTTAAAAGGTCGTTTTGATTGTTTATTTTCTTTTTTTAAAACTATTAGTTTTAATTGTTAATGATATTCAAAAAACAATTATACAAGTTTTTATGTTATTAATGACATTCAAAAAACAATTATGCAAGTTTTCATGTTTCAATTTACTTCGAAAGGTCATTTTATTTTACCTTCGGAAACAATTTTAATAAATATCTTATTATATAAGCAATCTTTTTATTGTATTTTTTCAATCATTTTTTATATTTGGGCTTTATCACGATTATTATCTTGCAACAAACACTTCAAAACATTCTTTATGTCCAAACAACAACTAAAATACAATGGCAGTCCGCTATATGCTTCCAATAAAATATCCGTAATTTACGAAACTAGCAATGTTTATGATGACAACATTGGTGAAATCGTAGGAAATATCCACAAAAGAAAATTTGGAGTACATTTTTATTATGACAACTTAGACGATATGAAAATGGCCTAGTAATTAGTAAAGGTTTACAATGTATAAATGCAGACGGTAAAAGTTTTACGAACTCACGTCAGCATAGAAGAATATATTTTTTTTACATTATATTTTCCTGTATATTATATGTCGCATATAAATTAAATTATAAAATATATTACAATATTATTCATACTAACACAAATAAGGAATTCTTCGATTCGAAAATACGAATTTATTACGAATAATGCAAATACTCGATTCGATTTATATTTTTGTAGGTATAAATTTAAGTCGCAAACATTTTTTGGAATATAAGTAAATCAAAGACTTTGCTAGAATCAAAACATCACGAAGAGCGAGATTAATATTCTTTGTTAAATCTGACTAATTGTATTACTTGTTTTAACGGGACCTATTGTGGAAACCATGGTATGATGTCATTTGAGTATCCACCAGAGAATACATTCTGTTAAAAATAATTTTGTTGTAAAGTTTAACGGTTAAATTATACACAGTGGTATATTGCTGAAAAATTTACCTTAGAGGGGGGGGGGGCAATTACGATTTTTTAAATATTGATTGTCAAAAAATATGATGTATATGAAATCGATTTTTTTTATTGTGAATATGAATTCTTTATTTTTATTATATTTTAAATTCAATGTAGCAAATTTAATAACACCGATATCGATTAAATTATATTATATATAAGTAATAAATAAAAATAAAATCGATAAATTTTTTTATACTTTGTTTTCTTTGGGCTGCATTTTCCTTTAAAAAGATTTCATTCGTCCGCGATGATTCCCTTTCCATATTTTGATACATTAATCTGGTATAATCCATTCCGGAAAGTCCATTGATATTTGTGAACATTAAATTTGAAATAAAACTTGACAATAAAATAATGTATTCACACATTTAAGGAATTTTTAATATTTCTCATTATGTCTTCATCGATATATTGTTGTATTTAAATAATTAAAAGATTTTGTTAAACCACGATCAAGGCTACAATGATAGTCGAAGCCTTTTAAAGTTGTCAAAACCTGTTAAAGATAGAGCTTGTTGGCGATGAACCTCATTCTGTTAAATAAAGCAAAAATGGCAACGACTTATAAAAATTTCAATAAAAATATTGAGAAATAAAATTTTTTGCTTTCTATCTTCTATGTGGCTATAAAAATAATATTTGACTATACAAATATTTTAATTTTTATGACAATAATAAGAAAATAAAGGAATTCATTTAACACTTTGGAAAAAAATTAAAATTTTTTGACGGGGTGGGGGGTCCTAAATTTAAATTAATAAAAATAACAAGGGGGAGGCTTCCTGTAACCTGATTACATGCATTTTTAGGAACAGGAATTATCATATTGTTTTTAAGCTGTTAAGGTGTTTTAAGAATACTATAAAATATTATGCATAATTTTATGATCAGATCTTTGTTACTAGTTTGTAGAAACTCACAAACTATTCATGCCCTGAGCTTTATTAGATTTTAATTTTCTTGAATAACTGTGTTAATAACAGTCTGTGATTATCTGTATTGAGATAGTTAATGAATTATTGAGATAATTGGGAAAGTAATATGTTTTTTGAAATTAACATTTAATAGGGTCTGAAAATAGACTTTCGACATATTTTTGTTATAATTATTCGCGTCTGACGCACTCTGACAAAAACTTAAAAAATTAAAATTATTTACAACTCATAAATTTTAAAAAAATTATCAGCCCTATGAGACTCAATTATTTTAAAGAGAAATATGTGGACCAAACGTACTCAGATCTGATAAAAAATATTAGTTTCCTTTGTAAATTTTAGAAATTAAAATTTTTTTATATGTGCAGCTTTCAGCAACATTTTAGATTTTTCATGCGTAACACGTAAATCCCATTAGTTATCAAGCACCATCTTGATATTAAAATAAGAAATAATAAAAATTTTGAATCTTAGGATGGAATATATAAAGTATAATATATAATTTTTTTCCGCATTCGCCAAAAATTTACTTTCTTATATCAAAAATATGCTATTCTATCAAAAATAATTAAGTGGCATTAATATCCGAATTTAGTAAGCCCGAATAAGAATAGGTCTGATCCTAACCGTATTTTAAAATTAAAGCCAAACTTGATAGAGGAAATCAGGCTTTACGTAAAGCTTTAACATGACTATCCCTCGACAAATACTGCAGATAGAAATCCAGTCTTTGGTGAAATTCTTCATAGTTTTGAATTTGGAACTAGAACCTAAAACTGGGATAAATCTGGAAATAAACCCTAATCCAGAATCTCTCTCTTAAAATTTATAGGAGCCAGAACCCAATTAAAAATATCCAAGAAACAGGAACAGAAGCGGTTATAACTAAAGTGCTTCTAATTTAAATATGTCGTATTTGGAGGAATCCATGGTTGAAAATCTTACAACTTCAAATCATTAACTGAGGGTGATATTTATATTTTAAAAAATCTGATTTGACCGAAAATGTATTCTAGCACAATTTTGTTATGAATTTTAGAATTTATTTTGATTTTTATACAAATATTTCATGTAAATTTAAAAATACACAAAGGTTTATCGCAAAAGCTTTCTGGAATTTATGAGGTGGATATAAATTTCCGGTTAAATCGGATTTTAAAATTTCTAAATCACCCTCTGTGATCAAAATTGACAGATTCCAAATCTCCATGGGTTCCATATCCTAATACGACATATATGTCATTCATTTTAAAAGGTTTATTTATTATTTAAAATTTTTTAGAAATATTTTGTCATTTTTCAATAATAATAGATTTTGGAACCTAATCTACAACGTTTCACCCTCAGAATTGTGTATAGGGACAGATATCATTTACCAACAGCATTATTAGTGTCTTCATAAATAAATTTTAAGTGCACCCAATTTTTTTTACTAAATCATTCAAGACGTTTTATGAGATCTGTATTGCAATTTGGTACAATATTTCCGCTTGTATTTTAGTTGTTTTGATCCCATAGCAAAAAAACAACCCCTAGAAAAATATATCAAATTTTATAATTATCTTTTCTTTTCTTTTTTAATTTAATTTTTTTAATGAGAAAAATATGGATTTTATTTAATCTTTTTT